GTAAACTCAAAAGAACAGAACGGCTTATACAATAATTTTTTAGTTTTGGGGTGGGGGAGGTGCTGTAATGGATCGGTTTTCATCAAATTGATTGGTGCTCAGTTCACAATAAACCTAAAAAGAAGTTGTTTTCTCTGACAAATCGTTTCAAGACTTGTGACTTGTTAAATGAATTCTGCAGATCTTGGGGCTAAAAATTGATCTATCGCCTGACACCATTTCTTCTTAAACTTTAATGACAATTCTCAATTTAAAACATATGTGAATAAACATAGAGAACTCATTCAGCAGCAAAACTACAGACTAGACGCGCCGGTGCGATTCCACCAAACCAAGGGTTTCAATTCTCCCCGTTATCCTTTGCCACCAGTCTCCTGTGCCCCCATCACTAAACATGTATAATGATTAAACTAGAAACAGCGCTAGAAACCGTTGCAATGGCTGAAGCCATTGCGATTGACTGCGGAACAGATCTAATGTGGAATTTAGCTGAAAAATCCTTGAAATCCTTGAAACTGTTAAAATACTTTAAACATCTTTGAAACTCCTGAAGTATTTGAAGCTCCTGATATCCTTTAAACTGTTATCCTTTATACTGGTTTTCATGTAAAAACCCCTATTAAGTTGCATTATACTGGTTTACATGTAAAAACCCCATTAAGTTGCATTATACTGGTTTACATGTAAAAAACCCTATTAAGTTGCATTATACTGGTTTACATGGAAAAAATCCCTATTAAGTTGCATTATACTGGTTTACATGTAAAAAACCCTATTAAGTTGCATTATACTGGTTTACATGGAAAAATCCCTATTAAGTTGCATTATACTGGTTTACATGTAAAAATCCCTATTAAGTTGCATTATACTGGTTTACATGTAAAAACCCCTATTAAGTTCCATTATACTGGTTTACATGTAAAAACCCCTATTAAGTTGCATAATACTGGTTTACATGGAAAAATCCCCATTAAGTTGCATTATACTGGTTTACATGGAAAAATCCCTATTAAGTTGCATTATACTGGTTTACATGGAAAAATCCCTATTAAGTTGCATTATACTGGTTTACATGGAAAAAACCCCATTAAGTTGCATTATACTGGTTTACATGGAAAAATCCCCATATAAGTTGCATTATACTGGTTTACATGGAAAAATCCCTATTAAGTTGCATTATACTGGTTTACATGGAAAAAACCCTATTAAGTTGCATTATACTGGTTTACATGGAAAAAACCCTATTAAGTTGCATTATACTGGTTTACATGTAAAAACCCCTATTAAGTTGCATTATACTGGTTTACATGGAAAAAACCCCTATTAAGTTGCATTATACTGGTTTACATGAAAAAACCCTATTAAGTTGCATTATACTGGTTTACATGGAAAAATCCCTATTAAGTTGCATTATACTGGTTTACATGGAAAAATCCCTATTAGGTTGCATGATTACACTGAAGTCCTTGAAACTGCTGAAGTCCTTGAAACTGCTGAAGTCCTTGAAACTGCTGAAGTCCTTGAAACTGTTGAAGTCCTTGAAACTCTTGAAATCTTGAAACTGCTGAAATCCTTGAAACTGTTGAATCCTTGAAACTGTTGAATCATTGAAACTTAGAAATGTCTGAAAGAGCTGAAGTCCTATTAAAATGCATGGGCCTAAAAATGCATTGCAGAATTCTCATATGCAACTTAATAGGTTTTTTACATGTAAAAACCAGTATAATCAACTTAATAGGGATTTTTCCATGTAAACCAGTATAATGCAACTTAATAATTCATGTAAACCAGTATAATGCAACGTAATTGGGGTTTTACATGTAAACCAGTATAATGGAACTTAATAGGGGTTTTTACATGAAACCCAGTATAAAGGATAACAGTTTAAAGGATATCAGGAGCTTCAAATACTTCAGGAGTTTCAAAGATGTTTAAAGTATTTTAACAGTTTCAAGGATTTCAAGGATTTTTCAGCTAAATTCCACATTAGATCTGTTCCGCAGTCAATCGCAATGGCTTCAGCCATTGCAACGGTTTCTAGTTATTTATTGACCTTCATTTAAACCAGAAAAAGTCCACTGTGTGTGTGTGTGTGTTTGTGTGTGCGTGTTTGTGTGTTTGGGTGTGTGTGTGTGTGTGTGCGGTGTGTGAATGGTTTTTGATGGTGGGAGGGGCTGATGGCACAGACTGGCTGCCTCGCTTCTGTCAGTATGCCCCAGGGCAGCTGTGGCTACTGTAGTAGTTCATCACCACCGTTTATGGACTGAATGAATAATGACATGTGAAGGTTCTTTGAGTGTCCTGAAAAGCGCTGTTTGAATTATTATCATTATCACATGTTTTAGTGATGGGGGGAACCGGAGCACCTGGAGGAAACAGGATAACGGGGAGAACTTGCAAACCCTGGTTTGGTGGAATCGAAACCCAGGAGCGTCTTGCTGTAGTTTTGCCTCTGAATGAGTTATCTATGTTTATTCACATATGTTTTAATCTGAGACACATTGTCATTAAGTTTAAAGAAGAAATGGTGTCAGGAGATAAGATCAACTTTGTAGACCCAAGATCTGCATGAATTCATAAAAGTCTTGAAACAAGATTTGCCAGAAAAATAAACTTATTTTTAGACATAAATGTGAAATGAGAAAAAATCCATAGTTGTTGAAATAAGACTAAATGTCAGACTAAGACAAAAACCACACAAAAAACTAATATTTTATCATGTTTTGCAGTGTACTCAGCTTAGTTCCTGGTGTCTTTCTATAGTTACATACATAAACACACAGATAAATACATACACACAAAATATATAGATACAGTGCCTTGCGAAAGTATTCGGCCCCCTTGAACCTTTCAACATTTCGCCACATTTCAGGCTTCAAACATAAAGATATAAAAAATTATTTTTTTTCCAAGAATCAACAACAAGTGGGACACAATCATGCGGTGGAACGAAATTTATTGGATAATTTAAACTTTTTAAACAAATAAAAAACTGAAAAGTGGGGCATGCAATATTATTCGGCCCCCTTGCGCTAATACTTTGTAGCGCCACCTTTTGCTGCAATTACAGCTGCAAGTCGCTTGGGGTATGTCTCTATCAGTTTTGCACATCGAGAGACTGGAATTCTTGCCCATTCTTCCTCGCAAAACAGCTCGAGCTCAGTGAGGTTGGATGGAGAGCGTTTGTGAACAGCAGTCTTCAGCTCTTTCCACAGATTCTCGATTGGATTCAGGTCTGGACTTTGACTTGGCCATTCTAACACCTGGATACGTCTATTTGTGAACCATTCCATTGTAGAATGGATCATTGTCCTGTTGGAAGATAAATCTCCGTCCCAATCTCAGGTCTTTTGCAGACTCCAACAGGTTTTCTTCCAGAATGGTCCTGTATTTGGCTCCATCCATCTTCCCATCAATTTTAGCCATCTTCCCTGTCCCTGCTGAAGAAAAGCAGGCCCAAAGCATGATGCTGCCACCACCATGTTTGACAGTGGGGATGGTGTGTTCAGGGTGATGAGCTGTGTTGCTTTTACGCCAAACATATCGTTTTGCATTGTGGCCAAAAAGTTCGATTTTGGTTTCATCTGACCAGAGCACCTTCTTCCACATGTTTGGTGTGTCTCCCAGGTGGCTTGTGGCAAACTTTAAACGAGACTTTTTATGGATATCTTTGAGAAATGGCTTTCTTCTTCCCACTCTTCCATAAAGGCCAGATTTGTGCAGTGCACGACTGATTGTTGTCCTATGGACAGACTCTCCCACCTCAGCTGTAGTTATCTGCAGTTCATCCAGAGTGATCATGGGCCTCTTGGCTGCATCTCTGATCAGTCTTCTCCTTGTTTGAGATGAAAGTTTGGAGGGGCGGCCGGGTCTTGGTAGATTTGCAGTGGTCTGATACTCCTTCCATTTCAATATAATTGCTTGCACAGTGCTCCTTGAGATGTTTAAAGCTTGGGAAATCTGTTTGTATCCAAATCCGGCTTTAAACTTCTCCACAACAGTATCTCGGACCTGCCTGGTGTGTTCCTTTGTCTTCATGGTTCTCTCTGCGCTTTAAACAGAACCCTGAGACTATCAAAGAGCAGGTGCATTTATACGGAGACTTGATTACACACAGGTGCATTCTATTTATCATCATCAGTCATTTAGGACAACATTGGATCATTCAAAGATCCTCACTGAACTTCTGGACTGAGTTTGCTGCACTGAAAGTAAAGGGGCCGAATAATATTGCACGCCCCACTTTTCAGTTTTTTATTTGTTAAAAGTTGAAATTATCCGATAAATTTTGTTCCACTTTGAGATTGTGTCCCACTTGTTGTTGATTCATGACAAAAAAATACAATTTTATATTTATGTTTGAAGCCTGAAATGTGGCGAAAAGTGGAAAGGTTCAAGGGGGGCGAATACTTTCGCAAGGCACTTGTATATACATACACATACAGTACATATATATACACACCTATAAATACATACATGTAAATATATATATAGATACACACACATATACACACACACTTAGCCCCTGACTGCGCCTCTTCCTCCCGCAGCGTGTGTGAGATCGTGGGTCAGTCCGACGGCGGCCTCTCCGTCCTCAGAACCTTCCGTCTTCTTCGTGTCCTGAAGCTGGTGCGGTTCATGCCCGCCCTCCGCAGGCAGCTGGTGGTACTGATGAAGACCATGGACAACGTGGCCACCTTCTGTATGCTGCTCATGCTCTTCATCTTCATCTTCAG